GGAACTTGCTCAAGTTCCCAGAACCGGGTTAGCTGAGAGCTGGAAACTTCATTAAAAAACGACATACAGGAACCACTTGTCCTAGTAGTCCGAGGAACAGGGCCTGTCAATACCCAACCAAAAACTGTTTCCTGTGCCAGCAGGGTACCTAACACATTCTTCCTAATTTGTTCCTTCATAGTAGCTGGATACAAGTCCGCACCAATTATCATGTCGATCTGCTGACTTTTGTGAAAATTAGAATCAGCTAATTCTATAGGGGGCAGTAGGCCAAGATCTGCTTGGTGCACTGAAATCTGGGGGAGGTTTCCTGTCAGTTGGGGTAGAATCAGGCCTCTTGCCTCAATTCTAAACTGGGGGTCGGCAGGTAAACCTAAAACAAACTGTGCGAGCTTTCGCACCTTAGCCGATAGTGTGACATTTATTCCACATATATTTGTGTCAGCAGGTCGTGTGGGGAGGTTGATAAGTTTTTGCAGCCCCTATGTCATGAAAGTCCCTTCGGAACCCGAATCAAGAAGAGCCCTAGCTTCGTAGTCCACTCCTAAGTGCCGAATATACACCATAGCCGTACCCAAAATTATGTTACTAGCACTAGCAGCGAAAAGAGCATTTGCATTACCGTTGGGGTAGCAGGTTGCCGAGTTTCTTCGTTTCCTGAAGAAGGTCGCCTCGTTGTTTCCGAAAGGCTGTTTTTACGTGGAGTACGATGCAGTAACGAATGGTGTCGTTGATGACAACTCAAACAAGTAAAAGTACTCTTACAGTTTCTCGCTATGTGTGAATGTGCTAGACAATTCATACACAGGTTATATTTTCTAACTACCTTACAACGATCGTCTACCTGAATCGCTAAAAACTTGGGGCATGATTTCAACGCATGGGACTGGTCTGGCCTGCATGCGGGCTGTGAGAAGTGACTGTGATGGGCCGATAATTTTTTTCCGAACGACAACGCTGGCGCCCGACTTGGTCCTGCCTTAGGCCCTCGTGTGCTTTGGATGTCCGAAACCGCCCCAAGGTCTGATACCTGCTCGAAAGGTAGTTATCCAAATCCTCCCACATCGGAATTCCAGCTTTGTTAACGATTCCCTGCTCCCACAAAGCCAAAGTGTTGTCTGGTAATCTGCTAGAAACTAAAAACACAAATATAGCATCCCATACATTTGCAGGACTGCGATACAATTGTTCACTGTCCGCTGCAAATTTTTAATCTCCGTACCACGCTCAACTCTTACCGTGGGCAAGTTAAATAATGTCTTCAACTGGCTATTGACCATAACTCTTCTCGTAACGATTGCTCAGGTTTTTGCCACGCAATCGCAAACCCATCATTGGTCAACGGGGACTTTTTCACTATATCTTTAGCTTCCCCACGGGTTTTTTGATTGAGGTGGTACAATTTTTCAACTGGAGTTAACCTCGAATTATTTATGTAAATGGCCGTGAATAAATCCCTAAAGGATGGCCACGCCATATAATCACCATAAAAAATATCCGCATCGCATGGAGGAAGGTGAAGGCTTGACCGCGGTGTTGGCTCAGGCTCACGCTTTATGGGGTTAAACGTTGAGGAGCTTGGCTGAGCAAAAGTAAAATTATGGATGGTTTCACCCATCAACGCCGCTCAAGTCAGGTAAGCTGTATAGCAATCCTGGTATTTACATTTGGCCAAACTCATGGCCGCAACACCCGTACTGTCTTCAGACAAATTCCGCGAATATGAAACAAAAGAATCTTTGACTTTTGAGTGATTTGCACCTGGAGTCTGATTAAACCGCTCTTCAAACTCGATTAGTGCATCACAAGCGCGAGAAAAATCACTAGCATTCGCCATTTTTGAGAAAAAAGTTTATTTATTATTGACTTTTATATTTACTCACAATAAATTAATACAGAAAAACGGATTAATTTGTTACGGTGCTTTTTTTTCACTTCTTTGTGCGATGACCAGTCGATGGGGAGTCCAATGAGTGATGCTCGTGAGAATGTATCTTAAAGAGCTTTCTTTGAGATAATTTTTCACCCCAGCTACACTCGTTCGATCGGGCCTTGATATTGGCGCAGCTTCTTCTGTCGGCTAAGCTGATTGGGCTGGAGCTCCTGGTCACTATCTGCTCGCGCTTCTGACTCTGGATACCGGCTGCACACTCACTTAAGCACTTATTTAAAATTTTTATTATTATTATTATAATTATTTTTTTTCACTAAAAAGATGTGATCCCGGTACTTTCGACGCGTACCAGCACACTGCAAATTAAAACAAATCGCGCCCGACTTGAATATACGTGGCGAATCTCAAAGGCCTCCCTTTTCGTGCAGCTTACTGTTTTCGAAACTGTTGTGGTTATTTCTCCCGCGGTGGGCCACTTGGTGGGGGCCTAGTTGTATTTTTGTTGCTCCCGCGGTGGACCACTTGGTGGGGGCCTAGTTGTATTTTTGTTGCTCCCGCGGTGAACCACTTGTGGGGGCCTTGTTGTTTATGTGTTAATACCGCTGGAGCGTTGGAGTGTCGCTATTGCTGCTCTTTTGCTGGAGCGCTTGCTGTGGTCTCACCGCGGTTGTTGCAATGGCGTTTGTGGTCTTGCCTCGATCCTGCGAAAGAGATGTCGATTTAGTATAAAATTATGTAATAATTCTTTTGTTTTCGTTTATCGCTCAGTGCCCTGCTAATGAGGGACTTTCACCGCACTTGCACTGCCCTGCTAATCAGAACTTTCACTTGCAAGCTGATTTTTTGTGCTTATCGCTCAGTGCCCTGCTACTCAGGGACTTTCACCGCACTTTCACTGCCCTGCTAATCAGGACTTTCACTTTTTTAGCAATTTATTGCGGTTTGCGCTTGTTGCTCTGCTTTTCAGGGTCTTTTACCGCACTTTCACTGCCCTGCTAATCAGGGACTTTCACTTTTTTAGCAATTTTGTTGCGGTTTGCGCTTGTTGCCCTGCTTTTTTGGGGTCTTTTACCGCACTTTCACTGCTCTGCTAATCAGGGACTTGCACTTTTTTAGCAATTTGTTGCGGTTTGCGCTTGTTGCCCTGCTTTTTTAGGGTCTTTTACCGCACTTTCACTGCCCTGCTAATCAGGGACTTGCACTTTTTTAGCAATTTGCTCTTATTGCCCTGCGTTTCAGGGACTTTTTCTTCATACTTACACTGCCCTACTAATCAGGGACTTTCACTTATTTAAGCACTTTTTGGTGTCTTTTTAATTTTTATTTGCACCAATATGTATATATATATATATATTTCGTTGGCCGTTGCAGCCGACTAGCGGGATTTTACCGCTTACTGGCTGAGTTCCGCTACTCAGCGAATAGGTGGTCCGCATTTCGAGGGCCTTCTTACACCCATTTTAAGTTATACGGAATTCTCATGAGGCGCCCTTACAGGCAACTTTCAGTTCAATGCAGCAGCTGCCCAGTGTAAAAATGGCCTTTCCACAAATTGCTTGCGAAAGGTGACTCATGTAAATTCCCTATGATTTTCACTCACCTCGATTTATTTCTGCGGGTACACCCTCTTGTCGCTAGTCACCTTAAAAAGGGGACTTACCTCACTCCTAGATTTGGCCGCTGCTCCTCCTTGGGCACCTTTTCCCTTTTTTTGGTTGAATTTTTCGTTTTTTTTTGTTTTTTCCTTGCTCTGTGGCGTAGCTGGCCAAGTTGGTTGTATTTACGTTTTGCAAATGGCCGGCTACATGAAATGTCAAATGCAGCTTCTTTCATGCGGGCTCGTTCACAATGGTGTGTGCTAATAAAACTTTACCAATGGGACTTGCCGAGAGTTGTTAATTTTTGTTAAGTATATTTTGGTTGAAAGAATTATTATTATTACTTTAAAAAAATCGCAAGATTAATGAACGAAAAAAGATTATCTTAAAGATCCGGCTCGAAGGACCATGTTCGAGTGGGGCAATTTAGGGGTCGGGAATCCTCGTGATTCCGGCAACGGGGACCAATGGGGGAGCCGATTCTTTAAGATAATCTTTTAACTAGATATCAACTAATGCCCTAGTCTCCAAAGGTATAAAATATGTCAGGTTTTAGGGTATTATACACAATTTAGGTTTATTGAAAAAATATATGTACAAACATGAGTTGACTCACCTGAGATGTCGCTGGCTGTCGATCACAAAATAGGAGGAGGCTATACTCAATTGCCGCATTTATAGGGTCCACAGACGGTGGAATTTGGCAACGGGTTCGACTAACAGGACTCGTGCCAAAAGGGAGATAAAGTAACGAGTCCTGTCAGCGAGTGGTTGGCAACGACATCTCTCGGTGAAGTTTGTATACTAAAACTTAAGCTGCAGGCTTAAACACCAGCCAAATACTATGAAACCTTATTCTCTTGGTATTCTTGTTATGTAAATACAATGTCGCTCGCATAGTACTTGGCTGGTATTTCAAGACACACACATGTTATTTGCTCGGTTCGTAGTAACAATACTTGATGTCTGTCACAGGTATTATTACGAAGTAATACCGAAGTACTGGTATATCTCGAGAAAGAAAAGTCGAATCACAACAAAGGAAAATAAATTTTAAAGGGAAAGAGTAGTTCTAAATGATCCTTAAGTAGAAACAAGCAAAAAATCCTTTTATCATAATATAACCTCAAATATCACCAAAAATTGTGAATTAGATTTTGACCTCGAATAAGTTTTGACCGAGTTGACTTATCGAAAAAAGACTTTGGACCTTTTTTGTAGAGTGTTCAATTATCTACAAAAATATTTCAGTACCATTACAGTACAACGTTTCGTTCGTTAAATTTAAAAATCAGAAGTAAAAAAAAACAATTTTTTCTGTGTTATTCTTACGGGAAATCGAACAGTCTAAACGAAACTATTGAGCATGGTTCCGAGGGAAGAAAGTATTTTCTGAATAGCCCTAATATACATATTCCATTCACATTAGTGCAGAAAAATATATAAGGAATAGTATGTGTTTAAATAAAATAAAATTACCAAATAATATACCTTTTATAATTTTGCAGGTTAAAATATGGTTTCAAAATCACAGGTATAAATGCAAAAGACAAGCAAAAGAAAAGGCAATGGCAGAACAGAGTCAACAGAATCAGGTAAGTAAATTTTATCTGAAGCATCGGAGGAGAAGCTTGGCCAAACTCTAACTTATGTGTAAGCGCCATTCTATTATTCATTATTATTAAATGTTCCGATCATTTTAAAGCACTTAGGTTTTTTGTTCATTAAGAACTTTATTTGAAAAGTTAGACATTAAAAGGGGCTACTGGTTTAAATAAACAAAACGTTTAAGTTTTGTTGAAATTATTTAATAAAGACAATTGTGTGATTGAAAACAAATAAACCATAAAAAAGTATGAGGGCGCGTTATCACAGAAAATCGAGCGGCGCCGAGCGAAGAAAGGCGGAACAAAGCGAAGCTGCTGGTGTTCACACTGAACGAGCAAAGCGGAGCTTTTCTCATGGACTCTGCTGCAAAGTAGAGCTGTCAAACTATCGATAGTGGGGCCACTCGATAGTTTGCGAGAGTTTAGCTGCACTATCGATACTATCGCTACTATCGAAACTTTTTTATTATATATTAAGCATATTTTTTTTTTTCTATAAATTTCATTACCAAAAAAAAATACAAAGAACATAATCGGCCCTATTATGGTTGTCGAGGACGATGTCGATGTAATTTTGCCATCAAAAAATAGCCCTCGTAAGTCCAACTCTAGCTACGCTTACCACAGGAGGAACTCCTTTCCTCAAAAATACTCGAAAACCATAACAAGGCCGAAGATTATTTTCAAAAACTCAAAACAAATTTTTTTATTTCATCAAGAGACTTAGTTTTAAACTTGTGTAATTATGTATGTGGGGCGTTCCATCCCAAAATGGACGGGGTTCACGATTTGGGCAATATTTAAGTATAGTATTGCAGGTTGCATTGTGCAATAATTTGAGTTATGATATTTTATTTATTTATTTTTTTTTACACCGAAGTTGGGTAAAATGAGGACATTACAAATTTTTTTAATTTTTTTTAGATTTTATTTTTAGTTTGTAGCCCATTAAATTTTAATATAATAAAGTGCAAGTTTTAGGCTACATACTGACGGCTTTCTGCACTTTTTTCTTATAGAAGAAAATGCGCAAAACCGTTATCAAAGAAAATTAAAACAAATTAACGCTAGTTTTGCAATCGCTTAAACCTTGCACTTTATTATACTCAAATTTAATTAGCTACAAAAATAAAAATTTTACATTTGTAATGTTCTCATTTTACCCAACCACGGTGTAAAAAAAAATTCATAACTCAAATTATTTTAGAGTGCACCCCGAAATACTATACTTAAATATTGCGCAACACTCAGAGCTACCCTTGTGATTTTTTAAATTTTTTTTGAGATGGCGTATTTTCAACAACCAGTTTTTTTTACCAAAAATTTGTATGAGAAAAAGTTTTAAAGAAAAAAATTAAACAAATACTGCTTTTCATAGAGAATTTCGATGTGTGTATGTGTGATTTTTTTCAAATTTTTTCCTCGCCCCGTTCTTGAGATATTTGGCAAACTATTAAATCGATTTGTTTTTGTGCTGTAAAGATTTTAAAAATGAATTAATGAAGCTCGAATTTCATATTTATTTGTTATTTATGTTTGTCCTTCAACCCAAAAAATTTGAAACAAATCAAACACATGAAGTGTGAACCCCGTCCATTTTGGTATGGAGTAGGGATGTTGCGAATGTGGAATTGTTTAATAGCTAACATCCGCGGATGCGAATGCGGATGTTAAATATTTTTAAGCAATAATTTTGGCGGTACATTAGGGGATTTAGGTAAATACAAAATGGAAAAGTTATTAATTTTTAATAATATTTTTTTATTTAGTACTTCAAATAAAAAAAATTGGAACATTGTATTAAAGAAAGAGTAATTTTGCTGCCTTTTCGGATTACAGCCTGTTTCCTAACCGGCCGTAAATCAATCCTGCGCCACTAAATAACTACTCGCTCGAGGCGACAAACTTGAAAAACTTGAAACCTGACAAAATTGTAAATTCTTTTCGATTGACGCTGCACCAGTTGAGCGAACTTTCAGTTTTACATCTTTTTTTATTGCGATGCAACAATTCCTTTTTGGGAATTGCATCGGGGCTGCAAATGTCGGATGTATCCTCCTGACTTTCATCTTCACAATCTAGCATCATGGTAAGATCGTTCTTTATCCACTGTTATGCTCCAATTTGGAGCACCAATTCTTTTGGTTGTTTCAGAATTTGGATAATCGGTCTTCTGTTACTGGTTTGAAACATGTGCGCTTATAGCGAGGTTGTAAATAGGTGAATATGGCAACTAAATTGTTATTTTCTAGGAATGAAAATTTCAACGAAAATTCTGTTTTGGAAAGTTGTGGCTGCCAGCAGAATTTATTTAAAATCTTGTTATTTTCTTAAAAAGACACCGCGTTTTTTATAATAATTTAAAGTATGGAATCACGGACGATAAAGGTCTCAGATTTGATTAGTTCCCGGGTGACGGTTAACTGAACTCGGCTTTTCCTAGTTGTAAAAAGTCACAATTAATTACTCACCGCTGTCGGTACCATAAGCCATCAAATCCGTTTTGTTGTTCCATTCCATGCGCTCAATATGTTTTGATATATTTTTTTGAGGCGAATGAACTCAAATCTTCAACATATGTATCGTTAATACTATTTCACATTGTCGCTGAAATGCAAAAAACTACAACTAACTAAATTTTTGCATTGCCTTACACGATGAGGTGACTTATTATTCGAGGAAATGCATCATAATCAATCAAAGAGTTAATTTTGGATTTTTAGTTAGTTACGGCCTTTTGTATTTCAGCGGCAATGTGAGTCAAGCCCTTTCCATACTAAGGAGTGCGCACGAAAAAATTGTAACATTATTTTTTACTTCCTACTTTCGTATTAAGTGTCCGCTAAAAAAAAACAGCACATCATCGTCTTTGGTTTTAATGTCAGATAAAGCCGAAATTTTTTTTTTTTCATTTCCATAGAAGAGTTTGCTAAAAATGGAGACTCAAGCTGAAATTCGAAAAACCATTGTGAAAGTTTTTCAACAAAATCCGAAATGGAGTCACATAAAAATTGCCAAAACCGTTAAAGTCTCTCGTCAAACTGTGAGCCGGGTGTTGAAAAACTTTAATGAGAATCTAAGTGTCAACAGAAAGGTGGATTCTGGTAGGAAATATGGATCAGGCGACCTACACAGAGCTAAATGTATCCAGCACATTTGTGGAAAAAATCCAAATATTTCGGGTAGAAAAATCGCTCAAAAATGCGGTTGCTCTGAATCGTTTGTCCGAAAAGTGAAAAGGGGCGCTGGCCTTAAATCGTACAAAGTTCAGAAAGTCCCAGATCGGAATGCTGCGTAGAACGTTGACGCAATTAGTAGAACAAAAAAATTGCAGGCAAACTTTGCAAAAAAAATTCCAGTGTTGCATTATGGACGACGAGACTTATGTATTGGCGGACTTTTCGCAACTTCCAGCCAACGATTTTTACGTAGCGGATCTGCGGGTAAATGTTCCAGAAGGCTACAGAACCCAAAAAAAATCAAGTTCCCCAAGAAATTTCTCGTATGGCAGGCCATATGCAGCTGCGGTAAAAGAAGCCAGCCATACGTAACTTCTGGGTCAATCAACACGGATATTTATATAGGTGAATGCTTGCAAAAGAGGTTAAAACCATTTGTATTGCAGCACAATGTATCCAACTTCTTTTGGCCTGAACTGGCATCATGCCACTATTCAAAAAGAGCCAAGGAGTGGTACACCAACAATAATATAAATATTGTACCTAGAGAGGCTAATCCGCCCAACTGCCCAGAGCTGAGACCAGTGGAACGCTATTGGGCTCTAATTAAGCGGAAACTGAAGGCGACGAAATATGTATCGAAGGACATAAGGGAATTCAAAATTAAGTGGACTGCAGCGTCTAAAACCATTCCTGAAAGCACCATACAGGCCTTGATGGAGGGAATTCCTGAAAAGTTCAAAATTTCCTTATAAACAAAAAACTTTAATTTTTTCCTTTTTTGTGAAAGAAACTATATGAAATGAAGTACAATAAAAAAAAAAAATTTGCATAATTTGGATTCACGGCTTACATAGTATTTTAATTTTTCTATGTTACAGTTTTTTCATGCGCACTCCTTATAATAACGATATATTACATGCCAAGTTCCCCTCCTCAATAGATATAAAACTCACCTTGAATTAATTCGTATTTAATATGTGAACTTGTCCCTCGACTTATTTACATATCATTTCATCTTTATTTCGATGCGTGCTAATTTTGACAATTTACACAAAATTAAAATAAATGTTTTTGTTTTCGAGCTGAAAGACTAATAAAAGGAAACACGGAAGTAAAGAATAATAAGTTGTATGAGAAAAAAATAATTACACATTTCTAAGAAAAAGTAGAAAAAAAGAGCGATGCCAGTTTTTTCAACAGACAACTAATATTCGATAGTTACATAATTCTTACCTAATTAAAGGTAATCTTTTAACGCGCATGTAGTCGACTCTCTTTATAGCCAGGCGTTGAACATTTCCGCTGGAAATACCTACTATTATCTTACTCTTTGACTTTAAATTACGAAAGAAGGTCGTAGGGGACAGTCTTAACGTAGCATCTCCACAGGCGAAAAAATGTTGGCTAAAATTTTTTGTTTGCCAGATATACGTTTTATCAGTGCACTTGCACAATATTCGCATTCGCAAAAGCCCCGCATTGATTATTGCGAATGCGAAAACGAAAACGAATGCGAATGTTAAAATTTATGCGGAAGTTCCGCTGTTGCGAATGCGACTATAATAAACTTGGATTGATATGAAAAGTAATATATGTGGGTATATGAATAACGACCGCTTAAAATTGATCTGAAATTTGTACTTTCGCTGTAGACATTTTAGGTACACTAGTATCGCCCAGTTGTCGAAATTCGACATCTTTTCATACACTTTTAAATTTTGCTTATCACCAATATTGACCCCTTTATGCTAATGACGATTTTGAAGTCCACCACCAAAATTTATAGCGAAATTATAGGAAAACTTA